TTTAGTATGTTGCTCTGTTTTTTTGCTTGTTTTCTCTTCTTTTTCTCTCAACAGGTGATCCAGGAGATTTTTTTTCTCTTCTTTTTCTTTTTAAGTGCCCCTTCTCACTGTCCCTCTTCCCTTCTTTTTTCTTTTCCTTCATCTTTCTTTCTCCCTTTCCTCATTTCCTCAGACAGTCATGTCTGTCCCGTCTGCAATAACTGAAAATAAATTAAAATAAATAATAACAACAAAGGTTGATCACATGGACCAATACGGCAAGGCCGTGATGATCCATTTGGCAAAGTAATTCCAATGGGTATCCTTGTTGGTCTTCAGACAACAATTCCGACAGCTAAAGAACCAAATTGTCATGGTCGGACGGTCCTTCCCGGGCGACCTGCCTGTGTGTGTTTTTCTCTCTCTCCTCCTCCCCACCCTTGTTGTCTCCACCCAGCGGCTGACACACCTGCACCTAATTTCCCACCGAGCTGTCACTAATCATCCTTCGTCGTGGGCTGAGGCATTTAACTGTATGTCCAGACGGCAGTCGACACTGGATTGTACTTGAAGCTCGGTAGTTAAGAGTGTTTGTTTACTTCCAACTTAGCTTTAGCTGGCTAGCCTTCTCACCTGTTGTTGTCGCTCTTTTGTAGGAGGAAGAGACACGGAGCAGGAGGTTGGAGAGAAGGAGCCCCTGGAATTAAGCTCTTGGAGGAGAACACACACTCGGATAATCACTTTGCAAACTCAACTGCGCACCACTGGGAGTTTGGAGAAGATCACTGTTGGATTTTGCACTTCGCTTTGTGTTTTGAGACTGTTTTTGGTCAATGTAAATAAACACACTGTTTGCTTCACATCCAGAGCTCCGCAACTGTTTCCGTATTTTCCCATTACCCGTGACAGAACAATTCAGCCAGCAATGGACTCAGCGGACTCAACTCCCGTCCAGCGCGAGCTCGCGCTTCAAGCTGAATGGTTGGAACGACATGAGAAGATGCTGCAGCATGTTGCCGAGGAGCAGTCTGCGCTACTACAGGTGGTATCTGAACTGAAAGGTATGTTGCTTGCTACACCTAGAGCACCCGTTTAACCACCAGAGCCCCCTACACAACCACCAGTAGAGCTTCTAAATGTAGCAGCGGCCTTTCCTCTTCCTCCATCTCCACCTCCTCCACAGCAAGAACACACATTACCTGTACCTGAAAAATTCAGTGGAGATTTGGACAAAAGTCAGGGATTTTTGACTCAATGCTCTCTCATTTTTAGGCAGCAGACTCGAGCTTATGCCTCTGATATTGCCAAAATCACCCTCATGGTTGAGCTCATGACCGGACAAGCTCTGCTGTGGCCTCAAGCAGTCCTGAGCGCCCAGCCCTCCATCTCATATAGTGATTTTTTGAGCAAATTTCGGTGTGTGTTTGACAAAGGATCTAACCGTGACAGTGCTGCTCATCGCATGTTTATTTTAAAGCAGGGCCGGCGGAGCGTGGCAGACTTCTCCGTGGACTTTTGATTCTTGGCCAACGAGACTGGCTGGGAGGAGAAGGCGCTCCGAGGAGCATTCCTAAACAGCTTAAATAAGAATGTCAAACGTGAGTTGGCCACTAAAGAGCTTCCTAAATCGTTATGTGCCCTGGTTAACATGTGTATCGGTCTAGATGACCATATGCGGGAGTTTGGCAGGCGAACTGGAGATGGGCAACGGTCAGTAGGGGGCGTAGGAGTTCCGACTGGACTCCCGTCTCTCGACTGGAGAGAGGAGGAACTGGGCTCACCTGCTGACGAGGAGCAACCCATGCAGCTGGGACGGACTAAATTCACCCAGAGCAGAAGACAAGACCCTCACGGCTAAAAGACTCAGCCCGTCAGTAAAGGTGGGGATACTGACGAGTGCGCCAGCTAATACATTCCTCCACCTCAGCTGCTCCGCTAAATTATGGTTTCTTTCCCGCACCCATTCTTGTGATGCACTAATAGACTTGGGAGCTGAACAAAGTTTTTTGGATGAGGCTTTGGCCCACAAAATGGGTTTGCCTGTTGTTCCTCTCCCTGAAGCGCTCCAAGTGTCAGTGCTTAATGGCAGACCTTTAGCTGTTGTCACTCACCGCACTCAAGAAATCACACTCACTCTCTCCGGCAATCACACAATCCTGTTTCTCTTCAAGGCACCTGACACACCCTTAGTTTTGGGATTCCCCTGGCTCCAGCGACACAATCCACAGATTGATTGGGCCAAGGGATGTATCGTGGGGTGGAGCACCCGTTGCCATGAGCAGTGTTTACGCTCTGCGGTGCCGGGTTGCATGTCAGATGATCCTGCGGGGTTGCCCACTCGCCCCGACTTGTCAACCGTGCCCGCCGAATATCACGACCTAGGACAAGTCTTTAGCAAAGACGGGACCCAATTGTTGCCCCCCCCATCGTCCGTACGACTGCGGGATTGATTTGCTCCCATCGGGGACTAAACAAAATCACTATCAAAAACAAATATCCTCTACCTCTGCTCGCCTCAGCTTTTGAACTCCTTCAAGGGGCCACCCATTTCACCAAACTTGATCTCCGCAATGCTTATCACCTGGTCCGCGTCCGCGAGGGGGATGAGTGGAAGATGGCCTTCAACACCCATCTGGGTCACTTCAAGTACCTGGTAATGCCGTTTGGACCCACTAACACCCCTGCCGTCTTCCAAGCCCTGGTAAATGATGTTCTACGAGATTTTTTGAACCACTTCGTGTTTGTTTATCTTGACGACATTCTGATTTTCTCCAGATCCAGAGCTGAGCATGTTAAGCATGTGAGACTGGTGTTGCGCCACCTGCTGGAGAATCGGCTGTTTTGTAAAGCGGAGAAATGTGAGTTTCATGCCTCAACTGTCTCTTTTCTGGGTTTCATCATTGAACAGGGCCGGTTGTGAGCGGATCCGGCTAAGGTCAAAGCTGTGTTGGAGTGGCCTGTGCCCGGCACCCGGAAGGAGTTGCAAAGTTTTCTGGGATTCAGCAACTTCTACAGGACTTCCGGGACTTCAGTAAGGAAGCATTGCCTCTCACACAACTCACATCGCCCAAACAGCCGTACCTGTGGTCTCCAGCAGCTCAGCAAGCATTCGACCGTCTCAAGAGCCTGTTTGCCTCGGCCCCCATCCAGGCCCAGGCTGACCTCGCCCTGCCATTCGTGGTGGAAGTGGACGCTTCTGATTCAGGAGTTGGGGCGGTTCTCTCTCAGCGCAAAGAAGGTAAATTACACCCCTGTGCCTTTTTCTCCCGTCGTCTCACTCAGGCTGAAAGGAATTATGACGTGGGCGTCCGGGAGCTTCTTGCCATCCAGTTGGCGTTGGAGGAGTGGCGGCACTGGTTGGAGGGGAGCGAACATCCTGTTGTCGTGTGGACGTACCACAAGAACCTGGCCTACCTCCAAGCGGCTAAGCGCCTGAAAGCCCGACAGGCCAGGTGGGCATTGTTTTTTGCACAGTTTAACCTAACCATTACCTACAGGCCTGGGTCCTGGAACACGAAACCAGACGCCTTGTCACGCCAGTTCGCGCCAGACATGGACCCTGAGGAGAAGGAGAGGCCCATTCTACCGGCCTCGTGCATTGTGGGGACCCTCACCTGGGAGATAGAAAGGGTGGTCCGAGATGCTCAGCAACAAGAGCCCGACCCCGGCACCGGTCCAGCAGGTAGATTGTATGTTCCCTCGGCGGTCAGGGTAAGGTCATCCACTGGGCACACACCGAGTGGTTTACCTGCCATCCGGGCAGGAATCGAACTGTCACCTTTTTACAAAGGCTGTTTTGGTGGCCCTCTCTCTCTCAGGATGACCGGGAGTATGTGGCCGCATGTCCTGTGTGCGCCCGAAATAAGACATCCAACTCACCTCCATTGGGACTCCTTAGACCACTGCCTGTCCCCAGCCGGCCGTGGTCGCACATTGCTCTGGACTTCATCACTGGTCTCCCTCTGTCCTCTGGTAAAACTGTTATTCTCACCATCATTGACCGTTTTTCTAAGGCTGCCCATTTTGTTGCCCTTACCAAACTTCCCACCGCTCTAGAGACTGCCCAGCTCCTAACCCAGCATGTTTTTCGCCTTCACGGCATTCCACTGGACATTGTTTCTGACCGTGGCCGACTCGAGCGGCCCTACTGCGTACGAGCGCACAAATCAAGAGACTGGCTGACCGCGGCCGCGTCCCTACACCAGCCTATCGGGTGGGCCAGCAGGTATGGCTTTCCTCTAGGAACATCACTCTGCGGACTGAGTCCAAGAAGCTGGCTCCCCGGTTCCTTGGACCCTTTTCTGTGCAAGCCGTCCTGAATCCAGTGACTGTCCAGCTGGCCCTCCCGTGCAACATTTAGGTACACAACGTGTTTCATGTTTTTCAAATTAGGCCTGTCCGGACCAGCCCGTTGTTGGCCAATCAGAACTCTAAAAGCCTGGATGTCATGGCTGGGGCAGCAGTCGTGTGGTGAATTGAAGGAGGACCCAGGTTGCAGACAGCCGTGGTGATGCGAGAGAGTTTATTTACAGTGCACAGTGAATAACAAATGTGTTGGCAAAACTGAACCTAACTAATATTAAACAAAACCCAAAACCATAACTCACAAAATCGCATACAGGGGAAAACATAAGGAGGTTACGCAGGGGATGAAGAGCTGGTAATGGAGTGCACAATGTGGAGCAGAGAGACCAGACACTGTATATACACACGCTGAGGAACACAAAATGGTAAAGCGGAGGGAGGCACAACTGATCCTAATTACACAGACGAGACAGGGAGAGCACAAAACGGAACACAGAGTCACACATGGGTCTACAAAGTAAAACAGGAAGTATACACTGATGAAACCAAGAACACGAAACTGACCGGGAGCATAACTATAACCAAAGACCTAGAACATCCAACCCCAAATACATATAGACAGAATCCCCCAGAATATAAGATAACAATAATAATAATAAAGATAAGCGGAAGCGAATGGATGGATGGATGGATAATAATAATAATTATAATAATTATAGTAGCTTTATTTATAAAGCAATAAGAATTTAAAAACTAAAAGCCATAGAATTAGAATTAGAATTAAGACATGTAGGATAGGGTGAAGAAATGTGTCTTCAACTTAGTTTTAAAAACCTTACACAAAGCATGCCTGCCTAATTTCTTCAGGGAGGTTGTTCCACAAGAATGGGGCATGAAAAGAAAAAGCACACTCTCAATAGTCTTTTTTCTGGCTCTAGAAACCGTTAAAAGGGCAGAGTCCTGAAATCAGAGAGCACGTGGTGGAACATAAAAGTGTGAAAGGCTTGAGAGGTATGAAGGTGCCACTCCATTTAAAGCCTTGTAGATGAGCAGCAGGACCTTTAAATCTGCTCTAACCTGACAAGGTAGCCAATGAAGAGATCACAGTGCACGGGTAATGTGCCCAAATTTCCTAGTTTTTGTTAAAATGCAAGCAGCTGCATTTTTCACCATCTGTAGACCTCTAAAACTTTTCTTTGGTAGCCCAGAAAAAAGAGCATTACAATAATCAATACATGAAGACACAAATCTATGTACAAGAACCTCTGCAGTGTCGCTTGACAAAACTTGTCTGATTTTGGCTATGATTTTGGCGGTCTTTGTTATCTCTTTTGCATCAGACTCGAAGGAGAGCACCATGTCGAACCACGCTGCCCACGTTTTTTACCTTGTCTGTGCAATTTATGACATTGTCATCAATTTTCAAGATGAAATTTTGGGACAAGTGCTGAAATTTTTGTGGTCCTATGACCAGCAACTCTGTCTTTTGAGTATTTAGGAGTAAGAAATTATCCGATAACCAGCCCCTAGTTGCAGATAGACAAGATTCAAGTTTATTTCCAATGGTTAGAGGAGCATAAAGCTGCAGGTCATCAGCATAACAATGAAAGGTTACATTAAAAGAACATAAAAGAACACCAGGAGGCAGCAGATACATAGAAAACAGCAATGGTCCAAGTTTGGAGCCCCGAGGGACCCCTTGCCTCACTGCACAGGTCTCGGAGAGATCAATTTTAAAACTAATAGTCTGAGACCTCCCATACAGGTAAGAGCTCAGCCATGATAAAACATATCCTGTGACTATAATAAAATGTTCAAGCCTATCCAATAAAATACAGTGATCCACAGTGTCAAACACAGCACTTAAATCCAGCAGTAATAAAAACTTACGTGCAATCATTGTCTGCATTTACCAGCAGATCATTTACGACTTTGACTAAACCTGTTTCTGTGGAGTGATTTGGTCTAAAAGCAGACTGAAATGGTTCAAACAGATTGTTTGTTGACAGATGGTCAATAAGCTGATTAAAAAAACACTTTTTCAAAGACCTTGGACAAAACAGATAGATATGAGATGGGTCTATAGTTTGCAATCATGTCAACATCCAGTCCAGGCTTTTTCAAGATTGGTACTACCACAGCTGATTTAAAACATTCAGGGAAGACTCCGGTTGTCAACAAAGTATTTAAGAGAAAAAAAATGAAGGGTCCTAATAATGACCACAGTTCCTTTACAGCCCAGGCTGGTAGAGGATGCAAAGAACAGGTTGTACATCGGGCTGCTTTTACAACTTTAGTTAATCTAGACAGGGAAATAACCTTGAAGTCAGAGAACAGTTTATCAGCACCAACAAATAAAGCAGCTGAGCAGTCTAATGAACAGCTCGAGGAGGGAGTAATCTGATTCCTAAGTGTTTCAGCCCGGTCTCTGAAAAACATAGGAAAGTCATGAGCTGTCAAAGTAGAACAGCAGAGAGTTGACTTACTCTCTGTAAGTTGTGACACTGTGTTGAATAAGAGTTTTGAGTTATGCTTATGACTCATGATGAGATTTGAGAAATAATTTGCTTTCGCTGCCGACATCGCTGACTAAAAAAAAGACAATGAGTCTTTCCAAGCCTGGAGAAATACTTCTAGTTTGGAAGATCCCCAGCGACGCTCTGCTTTTCCACAATTCTCCTCAAATTCAAGAGCTCCTCATTTAGCCAGGGGATAGCGTTCCTTTTTTGAGATTTTCACTTCTTTACAGGAGCAACAGAGTTCAGTAGTTCAAGAAGTGTATTATTAAGGTTCGCAGTTAAGGTGTCCATACATAACTCCTGGGTAAAATTGGGGTCCAACACTTCAGGTAAATGTAATTTAACTCTGTAAACAACCACGGCAGACCCGGGTGCAAATTCATGCTCTGCAGCATACTTCATTGGCACTTTCACAGTTGCTGTTCACAATGCTCCCAGAGCTGCAGCTCTCCCGCTGCCCGCTCAACATTATCACCACCACAACCCCCAAACACAGCACCCATTACAATATTTAAGTCGGCGGGGCGTGATTGCAGATGCCGTGCAGGTGCGTCCGCCCTCCCTGCATGGCACCGCAGGCCACGCCCCACCACAAACTCCAATCAATGCTTCGGGGCTAATATGATGAGATGATCTGAGGGGCAAATTAAAATAAACACAGTATTTTGATTTTTTTTTCTCACAGTCTCTCATGGCCACGCTGTGAAATATGGCTGTTGTGGACTCACAGCTTTGGACAAAATGGGCACCATGATTGTCTTGTAAAATAAAGAGGGGGCCTAGCAAAAAAAGTTTGGGAACCACTACTTTGTCGACTTAAGCTTTTAGATTTAGTGTTGTTTTCACCACTATTCGTTTTGCTTTGGTTTTTTTAGATTCATGCCACCAGCCGTTATAAAAGCTCACTTTTTGTTCAACCAGCAAGTTAATTTCTCCCGTATTTTGCTTTTGGGTCAACTCGTTAAACACAACAGCATTCCCCATTATGACAAAATAACTTTTTCTTATGACCTGACCAACATCTCTGAAAGTTATAGTAGTTATAAGTTATAATAGAAGAAAATGGTTGACTTGCTCACAAAGAAAGCTCAGAAATACTAATGATGATCTGAAAGTATAATAACATTTAGCCGTGAATCCTATTGGTCGTTTTCTAAAAAAAATAAGATCATCACTTGATCTGACCTGATAATTGTGGAGTTTGGACTCTTCAGCATCTTCACTCCTGAATCATTCAGGCTGTTGTCACTCAAGTCCAGCTCTCTCAGACTACAGGACTGGGAGCTGAGAAATGAGGACAGAGCTTCACAGCTTCTCTCTGAGAGTTTACAGCCACTTAGTCTGAAAGATTATGAATGCAGAGACAAATATTATTAGTGTTAAACTTGTGCTAATAGTGCAGTGAGGAGATACTAGGTTTAGCAATGTCTATTTTCTGTTCTCTTTTTTTTCCCTTTTTGTGTGGCTTGAATTCTCATTGGATTATTTAACTTTAGCAATTAAGGATTCCAGCCAACTTAGAAACATAAAAAAACAACAAAAAAGGAAGCTCAATTTGTTAGCGATTATTTTTTTAAGTTATGGAAAAGAAAATTATCACTTGATCTGACCTGAGAGTTTCTAGTTTACAGTGTGGACTCTTCATTCCAACAGACAGAAGCTTCACTCCTGAATCTTGTATGTTGTTGTTACTCAGGTCCAGCTCTCTCAAAGAAGATGACTGGGAGCTGAGAACTGAAGACAGAACTTTACAGCTTCTCTCTGAGAGTTTACAAACATTAAGTCTGAAAAGACAAAGATTGAACGAGAACGTTATTTCTCGTTCAGAGAGATTTTTGTGGATTTATTTTTAGGGATAGTGCTAATTGGGGTTGATCGCTACAACTTCATCTAATTATTTAATCATCAACTCATTTATGCACATGCCAAGGAGGAGTGGCAGTAACACTAGGCTAAAACGTATACTAAAGAAACTCAAGTTGGCATCACACTGGACTTTGCCTTTCTGGGCAACTTAAAGGCCAATTCAAAACTGGGTCTGTCAAAACTTAATAACAGACAAACAAACTGGTCGGAGCGACCATGGTGTCTCCATGGACAAACAGAACTTGCAGGTAGCAAGCTCTCACTACATTGACATAAAGCTTACAGAGCTTTGTTGGAGGCTTTGACCACTGGCAGCAGCCTCAGAAGAGCTTCCTCTGAAGCAGAGTATTTCTTCAGGTCAAACACATCAAGATCTTTTTCTGATGACAGTAAGATGAAGACCAGAGCTGACCACTGAGCAGGAGACAGTTCATCTGTGGAGAGACTTCCTGATCTCAGGGACTGTTGGATCTCCTCAACTAGAGAACGATCATTCAGTTCATTCAGACAGTGGAACAGATTGATGCTTTTCTCTGCAGACAGATTCTCACTGAGCTTCTTTTTGATGTACTGGACTGTTTCCTGATTGGTCTGTGAGCTACTTCCTGTCTGTGTCAGCAGACCTCGTAGGAGAGTCTGATTGGTCTGCAGTGAAAGACCCAGAAGGAAGCGGAGGAACAAGTCCAGGTGTCCATTTGGACTCTGTAAGGCCTTGTTCACAGCACTCTGGTAGAAGAATTTCTCTGCAGACTCTCTTGTTTCAGAATTCTGGGAGGTTGTTTGTTGTTCTTCTAGCAGATTTTTTCCAGAGTTGATGAAGGTCAGATGGACATGAAGAGCAGCCAGAAACTCCTGAAAACTCAGATGGATAAAGCAGAACACCTTGTCCTGGTACAGTCCTCTCTCCTCTTTAAAGATCTGTGTGAACACTCCTGAGTACACTGAGGCTGCTCTGATATCGATGTCACACTCTGTCAGGTCTGATTCATAGAAGATCAGGTTTCCTTTCTGCAGCTGATCAAAAGCCAGTTTTCCCAGAGATCCCATCATCTTCCTGCTCTCAGGACTCCAGTGTGGATCTGTCTCAAATCCTCCCTCATACTTGACCTTCTTCACTTTGGCCTGAACCACCAGGAAGTGGATGTACATCTCAGTCAGGGTCTTGGGCAGCTGTTCTTCCTCTCTGGTTTTAAGCAAATTCTCCAGAACTGTAGCAGTGATCCAGCAGAAGACTGGGATGTGGCACATGATGTGGAGGCTTCGTGATGTCTTGATGTGGGAGATGATCATTCTGGCCTGCTCCCCATCTGTGAATCTCTTCCTGAAGTACTCCTCCTTCTGTGGGTCAGTGAACCCTCTGACCTCTGTCACCATACCAACACAGTCAGGAGGGATCTGACTGGCTGCTGCAGGTCGTGTGGTTATCCAGAGGCGAGCAGTGGGAAGCAGTTTACCCCTGATGAGGTTTATCAGCAGCACATCCACTGAGGTGGACTTTCTAGGGTCAGTTAGGATTGTAGTTTTGTGGAAGTCCAGAGGAAGTCGACACTCATCCAGACCATCAAAGATGAACAGAACCTGGAAGTCTTCAAAGCTGCAGATTCCTGCTTCTTTGGTTTCAGTAAAGAAGTGATGAACAAGTTCCACCAAGCTGAACTTTTCCTCTTTCAGCACATTCAGCTCTCTGAAAGTGAATGGAAATATGAACTGGATGTCCTGGTTGGCTTTGTCCTCAGCCCAGTCCAAGGTGTATTTCTGTGTTAAGACTGTTTTCCCAATGCCAGCCACTCCCTTTGTCAGCACTATTCTGATTGGTTCATCTCTTCCAGGTGAGGCTTTAAAGATGTCTTCTTGTCTGATTGTTGTTTCTGGTCTGTCTGGGTTCCTGGATGCTGTTTCAATCTGTCTGACCTCATGTTCATCATTGACCTCTGCAGTCCCTCCCTCTGTGATGTAGAGCTCTGTGTAGATCTGATTCAGAAGGGTTGGGTTTCCTGCTTTAGCGATCCCCTCAAACACACATTGGAACTTCTTCTTCAAGAGAGACTTGAGATGATGCTGAAAAACTCCAATGGGATATCCTAAAGGAACAAAGGACACAAAATATCAATGAAAATTTTCAGCATCAATTCACTTAAAACTGTATATATTTGAGATGTGACTAAATGTTCCATTTTTCACTAGCAGCTTAAATCTTCATAGAAATCCTCTTACTACTCTGCAGACAGTCAGCCAGGTCCTCCTGCTTCATTCTCCTTAGGAAGTCCAGTGTGATCTTTACAAATGCTTCTCTGCTCCTCCTCTTCTCCTCATCATCCTCCATTGGACTCTCTAAGCATTCTGGATAATCTGGACTCAGGACCTTCTGGATCTTCTTCAGCTCATTCTTCACAAATGTGATGATGTTGTCCTCCAGCGGCTAGAACAGAGTACTTTATGAATGACCCAATCAGATTGAAATCATAGAGCCAAACATCAGATCTATGTTGGGTACACTGACAATCCACTGGTCTACAAAGAGCAGCATGGAGATAACTGTGAACAGAATAGATGTAAAAGTAGTTGTTGTACATGTACAGACCCTAAATATGGAGTCCAGGTGTGTTTGATGCTGCTGGGCAGACTGATCACTGTGAACCTCTGACCTCTTCTGGTCCACTCTGTGGAGGAACAATGAAGAATTAGTTCAAGCACAGGATAAAGCTCCAGTTGTTTAATGCTAATATAACTTTATCTGAATCAAGATGTTCAAACTTTAAACTCTCAGATCTTCACAATATTGGGCATTTTCTTATACACTCCTTCAGTGGTAATGGATGATGTTGCAGAACTTCAGAACAAGTGAAAATGAACAGTCCTCAACCTTCCTGGAGGCCCACCACCCACAGAAAGCACAGTAGGGGTTGGGTGTATTGTGAGCCAGACAGCGGCCAGGAGAAGAAGTCCTGACTGACCGATACCCATCTACCAAGACTGGCAATTGAGACATGGAATGTCACCTCTCTGGTGAGGAAGGAACCTGAGTTAGTCCGTGAGGTTGAGAGGTACCGGCTAGATGTAGTCAGGCTCACCTCAACGCATGGCTTGTGCTCTGGAACCAGTCTCCTGGAGAGGGGGTGGACTCTGTCTCAGTCTGGAGTTGCCCTTGGTGAGAGGTGGTTGGCTGGGGTGGGTATTTTGGTATCCCCTCATCTCGCTGCCGGTATGTTGGGGTTTCTCCCCATGGATGAGAAGGTTTGTTCCCTGTGCCTCCAGGTTGGTGAACGGGTCCTGACCATCGTCTGCGCTTATGGGCCAAGTGGTGGTTCAGAGTACCCAGCTTTCTTGGAGTCCCTGGGTGGGGTACTGGAGGGTACTCTGCCTGGGGACTCTGTTGTCCTACTGGAAGACTTAAATGCACACATGGGCAATGACAGTGAGACCTGGAGGGGCGTGATTGATCCCCTGCTGGATCTGAACCCAAGTGGTGCTTTGTTATTGGACTTCTGTGCAGCCACAGTTTGGCCATAACCAACACTATGTTCAAACATAAGACTGTCCATAAGTGCACGTGGCACCAGGACGCTCTAGGCTGCAGGGTGATGATTGATTTTGTAATCATATCATCAGACTTACGGCCATATGTTCTGGACACTCTGGTAAAGAGAGGGGCTGAGCTGTCAACTGATTTCCACCTGGCGGTGAGTTGAATCAGGTGGTAGGGGAGGATGGTGGACAGACCTAGCACACCTAAATGTATAGTGAGGGTATGTTGGAAACTCTTAGCAGAGGTCCTGGTCCGCGAGATCTTCAACGCACACCTTCGGCAGAATTTCAACAGCATTCTGAGGGAGGCTGGGGACACTGAGTCAGAATAGATAATGTTCGGCATCCCTATTGCCAAAGCCGCCGCACTGAACTGCGGCCGCAAGGTGGTTGGTGCCTGTTACAATCAGAATCAGATCAGAATACTTTATTGATCCCTAGGGGAAATATCTTGGTTACAGTGCTGCAGTACAAATGGTAACAAAAACCGACAATACAAGAAGTAAGAAATATCCCAGTATATACATTTATATAAGTCCCTTACTAATAAATATCTGGATAAGAAAGAAGCGCGTGTGCAAAAGGGATGTTGCTATAGCAGTATACAGTGTGGATGAGTTGTACAGGGAGATGGCCACAGGCAGCAATGATTTCCTGTGTCGTTCAGTGGTGCTTTTTGGTAATCTCAGTCTCTCACTGAATGTGCTCCTGTGACTAGCCAGTATGTCATGGAGTGGGTGGGAGCAAATACCCAGTATTGTCTTTATCTTGGACAGCATTTGCCTCTCCATCACCACCCTAAGAGAGTCCAGTTCCATCCCCACAACATTGCTGGCCTTGCGGATCATTTTATTGAGTCAAAGATTTAAACTCTCAGATTCTGAAGAAATTTGGCCTTTTTGGTCTGTGTTTAATGCACTCTCTTTCAGTACTTATGTTACGGATGATGTTGCAGAAGCTTAGATGAAACTTCACGAAACTGAAAAAATTCACTCATTGTAAGGTAGAACTGTGATGAACCATTAGCTAACCCTACAAGCAGATCACTGATCCAAATCCAGAACATTATCCTTGGTCTCCCCTCCACCTCCAGCACACCAGCTCAAACTAGGCAGATTAGTAAGTACAGGTGGTTAAGTACAACATATTTTGTACATTTAATGAATCTGTGGAAGCTTTACCTTTATACTGAATATGCTGGACACTTTGTGTCGTAGTCAGCATATTTTTCAATCATCATACAGTAAATTCACAAGTTCAGGAAACTACATTCTTTTTTCAGGTTTAAAAAAACCTAACATTTGATCCTTGTTGAAGTCTGGAACGAAACAAATTTTACATCCACTCGAAAGTTCACAATCTGAAGATAAAATTGGGTTTTTATCTCTGATTAAATGTGAGCATCAGTATTATGGGATATATCCACTACAGTACATCCATACCACTGTTGTTTAGTGTTCTCCTGATGGAGACCTCATTAACAGCAACCAGTATGACCCAGGCATTAGCTGCTTAGACGTTACAATCAGTCTCTTTGTGACCTCTCAGACTATTTAGGGTGCCTTGCGTGGCGGAGAGGAAGGACTTTTTTTGTTCTACAGAGGACACATTAAAGAAGTGTCCCAAGGCTAACCTAGGCCGTGTGCAGTTTCAACATCTTTTAAACCTCCCACTGAAGGATAGAAAAATGGCCAAAGCCGTGTCAAATCAAGAACTGCAGAACTCCATTTGTCAACCGATTCCCAAACACCAATCAGATCCGAAACTGCTTCCAAAACTACCTCGACTTTCACAGGTGCAACAAAGCTCTGTCAGCCAAAGGCCAGGAAGTTTCTTCATATGAGTGGTACCAGAAGGTTTACAAGAGCCTCTGCCCTATAAGCTGGCTTTCTAAATGGGACGAACAGATAGAAAATGGAAGTTTCCCCCGGAAAGATCTGAACTAACCTGTCATGACTGGCTGCAGAACAAAACAGTACAAAACAGTATCAAGTAACTCTCCAACTCTCTGTAAAGTCTATTTTATGCTTTTCTCTGTTTTCATGGAAGACCCTCCTAATTCTCACCGTCCTCTCCCCTTAGATCGAGTGTGCTACCTGTATGCATTTTCTTCACCTGCATGCCCTGGGTCCCTGTCCCCATTTACAGTCTGTTGTATATACACTGTCCCTGAAAACCCATCCTCTACCGTAAATAAATTGCAACCTCTGTGCGTTCTGCTCTTTGAGTCCAACCGCATTCCTCATAACATAGGTTCTACCTAACATTGTAGGATCTACTTTACAATATAAAGCACATTGAGCTGACTGTTGTTGTGATTTGGAGCTATAAAAATAAAATTGAAAGAGCAGCTTTGTTCTTTAAAGAAAAACATGAACCCACTCAGGTCACACTTTCCCCACAGATATGAGCATCACTGTCCTCAAACAGCAAATGACCAAGTCTAACATTTTTATCTTTTCACTTATTGTTTTCTTTTTAATGAATCTATGTAACAATCTGAGGATGTTTCAGGTCATATTTATCCAGGAAAACACAAACATGTAAAGGAGTCATCACAGGCCTCTGACCTCTTTGGTCCACGTTCATTACTGAAGTCTGGAGGTCCATCTTTGGACCCGTCACTCCTCACAGACAGACAGCTGGATCCTGCAGACTGTGACCTCTGACCTCTGCAGACACAAACATGTTTTGTTCAATGATAAATTCTCTGATAAAGTCATTGAAACAGCTCTGATCACACAGACTGCAGATAATGCAGCTGTGCAAACTGGACAAAACAGATTTTTGTTAGAAATTCTTTTTCATTTTCTCTCAGCACACAAACACAGTCATAAAATCAACCAGAATCAACACTTATTATTGTGTCAGTGCAAAATTATTTCTATTAACTCAGTGAGTTCAGTTCTCTGACCTCGTTGGTCCAGCTTCAGTACTGAAGTGTGGAGATGGACCTTTGGACCGGTCACTCCTCACAGACGGATAGCTGGATCCTGCAGACTCTTCTCGGTCCTCCCCTTCCTCCATCATCATCTTCTTGTGGACTTCAGTCAGTCTGAGAGGTAAACCACAAACACTCAGTGAGTTCACATTAACAGTAGTAACTGAGTTACAGTCGCTGACCTCTGACCTGTCATGTAACCTAGAAAGCAGGTCACATGATCCACATCAGGGATCAGACAAACTTGATCTCATCTGCTGACTCTGAAATTTAAGACCTTTCAATAACAAAACACAAACAGTAAGTTATTGACAGAATATTAAAAACAGCTCTGAGTATAATTCAGTCAGCTCACAACAAACTCCACCTTTATATAAAACCATATTAAAGCTCTTTTATGGCCACTCAGACACTTTAGGATCACATGATGTTCACACATGACTTGTTCTCAGACCATTAAACACCATCAGCACTGCAGCTGAAAGAAGAAAAACTGGACCATGCAAATGTAAGTATTAATCTTTTATTACCAATCAAGCTCGCTTAATGATAAAATTGTGATATTGATCAGTCTGGTCACTAACACAATTTTAAAGCTCACACACATTCGTATATAGAGCAAAGAACTAAACGTCTGCAAACAGGTCAAAGGAAATTGCAAAGAAAAGCGTCTGGACTTCTTTAAGTTGCTTGAAGACGTTTCACCTCTCATCCGAGAAGCTTCTTCAGTTCTAAAGTCCAATATTTAAAACTAGTGGGAATAACCCCCCTCAGAGGGACAAAAGGACCCCCTGATGATCCTCTAATCGCCTGA